TAAACTGATAACAAACAACTACCCTGGTCCCAGAGGTTCTCTTCTCTCTACCGGAGTACGAGAATTCGGCGCAAAGCGCCGACCAACGAGCTGTAAAGCAGCGAGCGGAGAGAACCTCTGGTCAGGACCGTTGAGAATCTCACTTTCATGCCACCAAGCTTCAGGTGACAGCCATCAATCACGCCCCTTTCCGATAACCAATCAGAGTAAAGTATTAAAATACCTCTGGGGGTAGGTGTAGTGTTTTTACTTGTATCTGGAGTGGGCGTGGGGAATATATTTTGTTTCGTGGCCGTATTTACAATATCTGTCAAAATATTTGCTACACGTGCCANTATGAGAATAGCGACACTCGATAATTACTGTAATTATCGAGTACTGCCTTGGTTTTTTTTCCTTGAGGATTTATTTTGAACTGATAACAAACAACATTCGCTAAAAGTTGACTCGTTGGAGTTTTTTTAAAAAAAATATCTTCTCACTTCTTCTTCGCCCTAAATTGAATAAATCAAGAAACGCAATTGAATTTTAAAGATTCGGGCAAAAACGCTTCTCAAATGGATATCTGAAAAGGCCGGATTCACGTCTTAGCAATAAAGGAAACATTTTGAAACTGCTTTCGAAATCGTTCTTAAAAGGGGATAAATTTGGAAAAGCCGGCTTACCATTTAGACGAGAAATTATTTGAAAAAAAGCTTCTCCTGAACGCTTACGTCACTGATCTTTGCATCTTTCTATCCCTGATAATGCGCATGCCTAAGGACGGATCCAAGCGTTTTGTTAAGGGTGATCTTGTGAGTGTTGGGGGAAAATGTCTTATTAGTTTTAATTTTCGGCAGAGGTGAAAACTTACGTTGTGTTTTTAAAATGAAAACGCTTCTGCAAATTCACCCGTCATGGTACTGAGCTGTATTACATTACACTGTCGGATAATAAGCTGTTTATTAGTCAGTCCATCAACCCTTTGAATATCTTTTTTTGTGTTTATTAGAGTTTTTCTCTAATTCTTCTTAGAAAATTTGTTTAGCATTTTTTAAATCATATCGTTCGTTTTTCAGTGTCAGCTGGGTCATGGAGTCCAAGCTCTGTTTCAAAGTGTTAACGAGTCTCCTACGAAGATAATGCTTCTTGGCGGGATGTGTAGCGCAGCTACCAGACCAATTGCCGAGTGCTCCCATCTTTTGAATCTGATACAGGTGATTGGATTGTATATATTAAGGTTCAAAAGCAATCCCTCTCAAGTCAAATTCTTTCATTTGTGGACAGTAAATGAAGTCGAGCTTGCGAATAAAGATAGTGAACGGCAGTTGAACCTCTACACAACGACCACCCCCCCCCCGGAAGAAAATAGTCGTTGTGGAGTAGGGAGAGCCCGCGGGGACCAAACAAAGCGGCCGTTGTAGACGGGTTGCCGTCAGTAGGGTTCCCACTGTAACTACAGGTGGTTAGACCGCGAGATTATCAGTCGTGATGTGTGCGAAAAAAAAAAAAAAAAAAGCTCGGAAAAAGACGGGCACGCAAAACGGTTGAGTGAGCTCGACCCATATATGAGAGGAGCGCAAAGTGTGTGACCCGATATGAGTGCCTTCCCTAAGCACCCAAGGTAAGTACGCAAGTTGTGTGGTCTGGCTGCGTTCATCTAAAATTTCCGACCCTTCGTCCATGCTTGCTATTTCTTTCGTATTGTGTAACAGGGCACACTTTTACTACAAGCTGTGGCTCACTGTGCTGACATGATTCAAACATCGCTCTCTGATTGAAGACTTAAAGGCGTTGAAATATTCTTCTCCTCATCCCCTGCAGGTCGGCTATGGAGCGTCGTCAATTTATTTGTCGGACAAGGAAAAGTACCCTCTTTTCTTCAGAACGGTTCCCCCAGAGAAGGGGCACAATTCCGGCCGCCTGGCTGTACTGAAGTATTTCAATTGGAAAAGAATTGCCATACTGATAGAAAGGGAGCCTTATTATGAAGCTGTAAGTATAAACAGGCGTCCTTCTGGGACAATACCAGTAGTGTACAACCTCGTTCCCAGGGCCTTTCCCCTTAGTTGGGGGTGGAGTTGAGGGCGGGGTGGGAAAAGGCCCACTCCCAACAAAGGGAAAAGGCCCTGGGAACGAGGTTGAGTGGTGTGTTAACTTAACGTGAGGCTACGTGCTATATTGAGGTGTACTGTGACATAGTGTGCGTGACATAGCGTTACGTAACGTAACGCAAAGTAATGGGATATAGCATGACTTTCTGTTTCTTAGATAGATAGATAGATAGATAGATAGATAGATAGTTTAATGGCCATATACATCGCAGCCCGAAGGCTGAATTGCGTATATACAAATGATTAATCTGATATAATGGGTACATAGCATTAAATACTTTATATATAAAAGCGTGTAAGAAGGGATAAAATACAATAGAGGGACTTAGACGGAAAAACCTACGTATTAATATTAACGGTACGGGATCTTATAATAAAGCTGTTTCTAAAACGATCTGTCTTGCATTTGGGTACGATGAAGCGCCTATTGCACCTTAGGGCATAGCGTCATGGACCGCTAAGTTGAATTAACTTGTTCAGACGGTGTTCAGGGTCCTTTATAATGGTGTCGAAAGTATTATTACATAGCCCCATGATAAAATCTAGAATGGGGACGATGTTCACTAGTTCTATGGTCTCCTGGTAGGGCAGTTCAGGGAAAATTATAGACATATCCCGCTTCTCGACTCGCACCAACTCATCTTTTAAGTACTTTGGCAAAGCATAACAAAGGCAGGTGCCGCGTACGTAAGAACAGAGCGGATATAGGCATATAAAAGGTGGACATATGTTGCCCAGGAACTCTTGATCTTTTTAGCTGCACTAAAAAATACAGACGCTTTGACGCTTTCTTGATTACACCACTAACGGTTTGTTCCACTTAAGGTTGTTCGATATGGTGAGGCCTAGAAGTTTCGCACCAGTCACTACCTCTAGTTCTTTACCATCTACAAAAATAGGCGCAAAATGGAGCTCGTTTTTTGCAAAAGATATTCTGAGCTCCTTACGCTTTTCGCGATTGAGTTTGACTCTATTCTGCATGGACCACTCCACGACCTTATCTGCGATATCCTGGGCATAGCTGTAGTTGCCCTTGGTAACGACTTCTGATGCCGTCGTATCGTCAACGTACTTCCATACATTAGCTAAATCATCAACAAATAAGTCATTTATAAGTACAAGAAACAACCATGGGCCTAATTTAGTTCTCCGAAGGACCCTGGAGGGCACTGAACCTCACTCTGAGTAACAGTCCTCAAATAGTTTGATTCTTTGGAAACGATTAGAAAGGAAGCCTTGTTATGAAGTATTGTGATATAACGTAAAAAAAAAATTTAAATGTTCTTGACTGTTGGACAGGCTCAGGCGAGTTTGACGAAGTTGCTTGAGAAAAACGACATATCAATAGTGGTTCAAGAATTTCTTGGAGATGGAATGGAAGAAGACCGCGAATCTTTAGTCAAGTTTTTAAAGGTGCATCTGCAATAATTAAAGGATAGAGTGGGAACCATACGATACAAACTCAAACTCAGTTGCTCTCTGTTACTGAGTCGCCTTGCCAAAAGATGATAGGGGCGCGGCTATAGCTAGAGGGGCCCCTGGGGTATTCGTGATCGCTGGCCCTCCCTTAGTGAGACGATTATTTTAAGTAAACAGCGTACGAACCTTATAGTTCAGGTTTGCGAAAATTTTGCTGGTCCGATGAATCTTCATGGGATAAATATTCTAAGTACTTGAAACTTAAACTGGTGGTTCCACTCGCAGCGAGTAGACAAGCCCGCTGACACATGAAGTAGAGCGGTGTAATCCCTTCAAGTATGAGGCGCAAAATGTTGTTTCTGAAACTCTCGCCCACTGCTTTTGAAAAAAGTCCTGTCACAGCTGTATGCCGCTGGATACTTGTACCAGGCGTCACTTTAACGTCGAAATAAACCAATTAAATTGCAAGGCTGACAATACGGAAAAAGTAAACCTTTTAAACGGCCCAAGGGTACTTTCTAAGCGCTATTTACTGTTGTTTCAATCTTGCAATTCCCTTGGTTGAGGAAACAACTATTTTCAACTGAGGGTTACATATATCAAATAAGCTCATCCCACCTGTGTGACCCCCCTATGACTGACTCGAGGAGTGATCTCGTGAGGGAGGTTAACCTCAAAATAACAATATTTGTGAAAACCCATTTCAAACTTGCAGTAATCTACCAAGTAGATTAGATTTCGTTTAAAGAAATCAGATTCGCGATACAAAGAGTACTTTTTCTGTCAGATTTTACATTTTACTCTTACTCTTTAACCAGGCGAGAGATGCTCGAATTATTGTTGGACTTTTCTCCGAAGAAAAAGCTGTGGAAATCTTCTGTCAGGTAACCGACCCTAATTTTAGAAACCGCAGTAATTGCGGGCCACTGCAATTGAGGGCCACTGGTTTCTCAGCGCAAGCTGTTATGCGTCTACCCTCTTTAAATAAAGTCGATTATTATTATTATTATTATTATTATTATTATTATTATTATAATTATTATTATTATTATTATTATTATTATTATCATTATTATTATTAGAACTGGAGAACCCTCTGGCAAGTGCGGCAATGTATCAGGCTCTAAACAGGGTGGTGAGTGGTTCCAACCTCCGTCCTGGTTCTAAAACAAGAGATCTAATTGGCAGAACAGTAGCTCAGCACGTGCGTTTTGAAACTTTGTACATTTCATAGCCGTCCTATGCAAAACAACAACGTGAAATCGCCAAAATTTGCGTCGTCTGCGAACCGAAACCGCGACGGCAAATTATTTTAATTTCCATTTGGAACTCAACGGCTACTTTATACGTCATGCGGAAGTTGAGCTGTGGCGCTATATGAGACAGTAAGCTCCTGCAGCCATTTTTGAAATTCTAACTAAGAGTAGAAATTCATTTTTTAATCGAAGTCTTCCTTGGCGTCGCCGTCGTGGTTTCTTAAGGTCCCTA